GTACCCGACTCCCAGCCCCGCAGCTTTTCCCAGGGAGGCGCCCCCCGGCCTCGCGCCCACCGCCTCCGTCCCACGGCCCCTCTCCTCTTGTCCAGCCGCAATTTTGTTGTTTTGATGCTCTCCCCTGGGCCTCGCACTGCACCCATAGCCCTTTCCCGCGCAGGGGGGCTGTCGGGGGCCACAGACGTGGGCGGTAATGAGCTGGGGGCCTGCGTTGCGAGCCCCAAGCCTGCCCTTCGGGGGGCGGATGAGTTGAAGACACCTGAGGGGGTGTGACGGGCTTTCGGGTGGAAACCCTTTACCCGGTTCTGGGGCCCAGCGCGGAACCAGCGGCGGGCATTCCGCCGACGCCTGCCCCGTAACTGAGCGGAGAGGGGGGGGGGACGCGCGCGTGGGTCACCCTCCCCTGTCTCCCTGTGACTCTTCCCGCGTGGAAAGCTTGCCACACCCCCGGCGCGGCCCGTACACTCGCTGCCCGAATCCAGAGCGTGCCGCGCACGACGGCCCTTCTGCACCCTCGGCTCTAATTCTTGGGACTCTCTCTCTCTCTCCTTGATGAAAAGGAAGGACACGGAGCCATTGCTGTTTTATCGCTGTGGGGTTTTTGTTTTGTTTTGTTTTGTTTTTTAACTTTACCTCCCCCGACTGTGGATTTGGGGTTGGGGTGGGGGGGCCTATGACACAGTTTTGAAAGTTCAGGCAGTACAGTAGTGTATGAAATGAGAAGTAGAGTTTGCTCCATCCTGCCTTCCGTCTTTTCCAGGAGTGACCTTCTTCTGTGGCTTGTTTTTAGGACTCCTCAGGGGCACCGTCCACTGTGCTCTTGCCCCCATTTCTTAGCCTGTTTACCCCAGTGACTATCTGCTGACCCCTCCCCACTATGAAAGATGAGGAAACTAGATTATTTGTTCCTCCCTTCTAGTCTGGTATTATTTTTAACTCCCCCATTATTTATCTCAAATGAGATACTTTTAAATAGCTATTAATGACCTATCCATCAGCTTTAGGCGGTGTCTTTTTTTTTTTTAATCCTCATTTGAGGATGTTTTTATCGATTTGAGAGAGGGAGAGAGAGAGAAAGAAATATCAATGTGAGAGAGAAACGTCAATTGATAGGTTGTCTCCCATGGGTGCCCTGACCAGGGATCATACCTGCAACCTGGGTATGCACCCTGACTGGGAATCGAACCCACAGCCTTTGGTATATGGGATGACACTCCAACCGGCTGAGCCCCCTGCCAGGGCTAGGCAGTGCCTCTTGATGCCTCGCTGAGACGAATGAGGACCACCCTTCCTTCCCATCCCAGCTTCCATTCGGTCCCCTGGGCTCTGAGGCCTCCCTTTCTGTCCTAGATGAAGGAGGAGCGGTTTCGGCAGCTGTTCGCTGCCTTTGGCACGCTGACCGACTGCAGCCTGAAGTTCACCAAAGATGGCAAGTTCCGCAAGTTTGGCTTCATCGGCTTCAAGTTCGAGGAAGAGGCCCAAAGGGCACTGAACCATTTCAACAAGAGTTTTGTTGACACGTCCCGCATCACGGTGAGTCTGCGAGAACCTGACCCCTGCCTGCGTGCCTGCCGAAAACGGCCTTTCCCTCCACACTCCTGTCCCCTTTCAGATTTGGATGTCCTCAGTGTCTTTCACCAGTTCTCAATCTTTCATGCCTACAGATCCCCCAGAGAGCTGTTAAACTAGTTTCCTGGGCCCCCATCTTAGAGTTTCTCATTCAGTGTATTGGGGGAGAGGGATCCAGGAATTTGTATGTCTAACAAGCTCACAGGTGATACGATGCTGCTGGTCCCAAAACGAGAACCACTGACCTACATCATTCATTCCTGCACCTGTTCAGCAGGCACTCAGTGAGTGCTTGCTTGATGCAGGAGATTTAGAGATACTGTGGTACCCTCGGCCCATCCTCATGGCACCAGTAGCCTATGGGCCGGCAGGCAGGGCGCCAGGTGAACAGGCTGCTTTCAACAAGCATGGTTGGTGCTGAAGCACAAAGGGTGCCCCTTGCCTTGCTGGGCAGTGGATGGGGGGTCAGGAAAGCTTCCTGGAGGAGGAGGTCCCACTCTGTCACTCATGCCTTTAATGACTAGTAAAAACATCTGTAACACCTGTTGAGAAGGAAAACAACAGATATTGACCAAGTCTGATCCCATTTATAGAGTCCTATTCCTCCATCTGTATGTGTGTGATGCGTGCATGGAGCCACGTGGAAGGGTTTTTACCGAAATAGTCATCCTCCCTCTGGATGATAGGAAGGAATTGGGGTATAAACAGCAGAACTATTTTGAAAGTTCACACAAAGGGGTATGACAAAGTGGCAGCTCCTTCCCGGGGGAGTAGTTGGTTGACCGGTGTCCCCGTGACTATGGTGGGAAGTGCCCAGTAGCCACCCACCACCGCAGAGGTCATCTGGGGGAGTATGTGAAGGTTTTTAAAGCCAGAGAAGCGTGTCAGCTCCGGCCTCACAGCCAGCTCTCTTCCATGCTCTGAGGTGTCTCCTGTTTCTCTCGTCACCCTAGGGTTGTCCTGGGGCCCATGAGCTTGTGTTACAGTAACTATAGTAACAGGGTTAGCTCTGCAGCACCTGCGCTGTCACCTTGTGCCACCCTTTGGATGGGATGGTTGAGAACTCAGGCTCCAGAGCCAGACTCCCCAAGTCCCAGCCTCCACTCTGTCACTTTCTACCTGGGTGACCCGGTTACTTAACTTCCTGTGCTTCAGTTTCCTGACCTGAGACCTGGGGAGAGTTGCGGTTCCTCCCTCGCCCTGTTGGGAGGTTCAGCGTATTTATACTCTCAAAGCAGCAAGACTGCCTGGCATGTGGAATTCTTCAGTAAGTGTTCGTGACCACGGTGGCTGCAAAGGGCAAAGCCAAGGCCAGGGGAGGACACATAATTTGCTTCAGCCAACTCGGCTAGTCGGTGGCATTTGCCTCTTTCAAAAGCCCAAGTTCCCAGATGTGAAGTGTGGCGCCAGGCTGGGTGCAGTTGCAGGTGTCACCGTCGCCATCCTCCCTCTCCCATGCAGGTGGAGTTCTGCAAGTCATTTGGGGACCCAACAAAGCCACGAGCCTGGAGCAAACATGCCCAGAAACCAAGCCAGCCCCAGCAGCCTTCAAAAGGCAAAGACTCCGCCCCCCTGGAAACTAAGAAAGTGCGTAGAGGGTCACTCCCACCCACCAGCCCGGTGCCTACAGGGTGGTCGCCCTGGGGTCCGGGGGCAGTGGGATCCTCAGCACCTATGCCTTCTGTTTTTAGGACAAGAAGAAGAAAAAGGCAGCAGGTGAACTGGAGAAGGTGGGTCTGTCCTATAGCCCAAGAGGGTGTGCACCAGGAATGGTCCCAGGAGGGCTGTTGCCGGAGGGAGGTGGCGGCCAGCAGAGTCCTGTCGGTGGTGTCTTAGGCTTCCTGTCCGGTGAAGAGTCCACTCATCCTCCCAGGACTGACCCAGCTGACCCCTGGGGGAGATGATCTTGGAGGACGCTCTGACCCCACCAGGAGTTAGGAGGGGTGAGCCTGACCTGAATCTTCTTGCCTGTGTTTTTTTTATTTCCCGCTGCCCTGCTGCGGTACCACCAGCTGAAGGAAGACACCGAGTTCCAGGAATTCCTGTCGGTTCACCAGAAGCGGACACAGGTGGCAACTTGGGCCAATGATGCCCTGGACGCAGAGTCCTCAAAAGGGAAGAGCAAGCTGGCCAGTGACTACCTGAACTTCGACTCCGACTCGGGCCAGGAGAGTGAGGAGGAGGGAGCTGGGGAGGACCCAGAAGGTAAGGGCATTGCGGTGTGTCCATGAGTCCCTACAGCCGTGAGTCCCTGTGCGCCTATAGGGCCTGTGCTCTTGGGCTTGCACAAACATGGGGTCCCTTGGTGCCAAACACTGCTCTCTAGTGGGCGTGGTTATCCCAGCCGAAACAAGTCCACTGCGTAGTATATTACGTGAAGACAGTGCCATAGAGGGAAATCGGGAAAAGGGATAGGAGAGCTCTCGGGAAGGCCTCTGAGGAGGTGGCCTGGACAGGCCAGAAGGAGGTGAGGGGCTGGGCGCTTCGGAAGGCGCTCACAGTGTCATACGGGGATGGATGGGCGCAGGGACGGTTGCAACCAGGGTGGGAAGTGGTGGGTGAGGATCGAGAGTCGATCCTGGTTTAAAGTGAGAGAGTGGATTCGATGTGCACGTCATGCGTGGTGAAGCAGCTGTGTACCTCTGGGGTCTGAAGGGCTCCCTGGGAGTTGGTGGGACACAGTAGGAGAGGGGGGATAGGAAGGGGTTGCAGGTGGAGGGATCAGCATGCAGAGGACGCACAGGAGCCAGAGGGCGCTCTGAGGCTCAGGAGGGCTGCAGCGTGAGAACTGGGCTGGGAGGAGCAGCCAGCTGGCCTCATGGGCAGGAGCTCAGGTTTCTTCCTGCAAGCGCCTGGCAATCACTGGTAGAGGTGGGCTTGGCACCTTGTGCCCCCTGCCGTCCCAGGCCTCTGGTGTGCACACAACTGTCCTAACTCCAGTTCCCTGTTTTCCCAGAGGAGGCCGGCCTTGAACCAAAGGCAGCTGTGCGGAAGGAGTTGTCGGACATGGATTACCTGAAATCCAAGGCGGTGCGGGCCGTGTCACTGTCCTCGGAGGAGGAGGAGAGTGAGGATGAGGCTGTGAACTGTGACGAGGGGAGTGAGGCTGAGGAGGAGGATTTCTGTGCCGCCCCCACCCGGCAGGACCAAGAGAGGACAGGGCCGGGCCCAGAGCAAGGGACCCGGTCTGGGAACAAGAAAGCACAGGAGTCCAGAGCCCAGGTGTGTGTGGATCAGCGTGTGCCCAGGAGGCAAGTCTCGGCTCTGCCACTTGCTCTGCAACCTGAGCAAGCACCTTTCAGTCTATTTCCTGTTATTGGGGAGGTCGCTGCCTTCCAGAGTGAGCTGCTAATGGCTACAGCACATCATACTTTGTATTTTGTGGCAGTGTAGATAGGTGTCAGCCCACAATCGACAGTAATAGGTAAAATTAACTGAGCACTTACTACGCGGTGGGTACAATACCTGCCATATCATTTTTCATTGACTCTCAGGATGGTCTTGGGGGGCAGGTATTCATGTCTCGTTTTATAGATGAGTGAACTGAGGCCCAGAGGAGGGAAGCGACCTGCCCAAGGTCATGCCTGGGAAGTGGAGGGGTCATGGTACTTGCTGCCATCACTGGCTCACTTCTATGCACTCACTGAGCCATTCAGGTACAGGATGTCACTCATACCAGGACTCACTGTGCCCATGTCTGTTCTCTGCCATCAGACAGAGAAGCCAGCAGTCCAGAGGGAACCCAGCACCCCTCACACCGTGAAGCTGCGGGGAGCCCCGTTCAACGTCACAGAGGTATGTGCCCCTAACGGGATGAGCCGGGAGCCAGAGGAGCAGGTGGGGGCCAGGAGTCTCTGTTGTGTGGGGTTCAGGATTAGCTGAGGACTTGAGTTGGAAAAGGCCATCTATCACTCTAAATGGATATAAAGGTACTTGGCAGGGGGCAGATCAACCACGATGCCTTAAAATGCTGCTGGTGACGTTACTGTTCATATTTACATTCTCCAGGTCCAACTTTATTTTTATTTTTTCAAAGTTAATTTTATTTAATGTTGGAGAAAAGATGTGTATATTTAGAGGAAAGAGAGAAACTAGACAGGACGAAACACTGTGGTTATCTTTCCAAATTCAGAACTCCGGCCCATGTTTCTTATCCGGGTTACTTTTTTATCACTGGGTTGGTAAAGGGGGAAACCTTTCCTCTTGTTATAGAAAAATGTTACTGAGTTCCTGGCGCCCCTGAAACCCGTGGCCATTCGGATAGTGAGAAATGCTCACGGGAACAAAACAGGTGAGGTCTGGGATGATCTGGGGATTGGAGAGGCAGGTGGTAAAGATGGGAGATCAGGCCAGTTGAATTGGGGGACATTTGAGGGGCGGCTACTCTTTTTCCTGTTTGTGGTCCTGGTTCTGTCCACTGGCTGAACCATGTCTTTCCCAGGAAGTCCGCAGAGCAGGCCCCAGTGGTCCCGGTTCTGTCCACTGGCTGAACCATGTCTTTCCCAGGAAGTCCGCAGAGCAGGCCCCAGCCCGGGTGGGTGGGGTGGGAGGGATGCAGAGGCCTCCAGTGTTCTGACTTCTACATTCCAGCATTGTTATCATAAAACCAGGTCATAGGGTCTAAACACTCCAGGCAAAGGGGGATTTGGCCACAGGTGGGAGGGAATGTGCATTTTGGAGAACTGGCAAAGATAGAATCTTCCCCACTCTCTGCTCAGTTTCCCCCGAACACCTAGCACAGTGGGGGGACTCCCATGTGCCTGCAGGCCTGCGGATTTTACCTTTGTCATTGTCCTTCCTTAGGGTACGTCTTTGTGGATTTCAGCAGCGAAGAGGAAGTGAAGAAAGCCTTGAAGTGCAACAGAGAATACATGGGTAAGGACGCCGGGACAGGCGCCACACCGTGTGCTGGTGGATCCGTTTGTTCATTCGTTTACTCCATCAGTTTTCATTGAGGGTGTGCTGTGTGCCAGGTACTGCTCTGGGCACTGGGGAGACAGCAGCAAGCAGAACAGGCCAAAATCCCTGCCCTTGTGCCTCTGACGTAGAGCAAAGGAATGTAAAGGGTGAGAGATGGGGAGGAATTCGCTGGGCTGTATTATGGAAAAATACAGAGCAGGAGAGGGTTGGGATTGCAGGAGGCATGTTTATAAATAGGATTGTGTCAGCTTGAGTCTCCTTAAGAAGGTGGCAGAACCAGGGGGAGTAGAAGGAGCAAGCCCTGGCATGTAGCAGGCTATTCCAGTACAAGGAACAGTACAGGGAACAGCATATGCGAGGTCCTGAGTGGGGAGGTCACCTGAACCATCTCTGAGGACGTGCTCTTTGACCTGACCCTGGCACGGACAAGTGATTTATATTCAGCCATCGGTCCCTAGTGAGGACATGAATTCTTAGAGAAGGTGGGAAGCCCAAGCAGTCTTATCAGCTAGTCAGACAGTAGATGTTTATTGAGCACCTACTCTGTGCATGTGGAGGAGCCAGTGGTGGTCACTGTCTAATCAGGCCCAGGGGCGATGCATGTAAACAGTTCAACAGTGCAGGGTGACTGACTCCTCAGTGCTGGGTTGTCACGTGTCACTGTCCTAAGAGTAGCAAGCAGTGCTAGGGACTGTGCCCTGGAATTCAGAGGATGCAGCTCTGGACTGAGGTGGCCCAGACAGGTTCCCCCCCCTCGCCCCGGGGTTGAAACTGACCTCACAGAATGAATGGCATTTGGGGAAAGAGCCTTGTGGGTCAAGCCAGTGTTGGCTCAGGCCGCTGCCTTGGTCCTGGCATCTGGAAGGCAGCAAAGATGAGTTGGAATTGTCAGCCAGGAGTCACTGGCAAGTTCTGGGCCTCCCCTGGAGCCCCGACTCCTCTCCTTGTGCAGGTGGCCGCTACATCGAGGTGTTCAGGGAAAGGAACGTCCCCGTAGCCAAGGGGCCCCTCAAGAGCAGTCCCAAACCCTGGCAAGGCCGGACACTCGGAGAGAACGAGGAGGAAGAGGACCTGGCCGACTCGGGGCGGCTATTCGTGCGCAACCTGCCCTACACCAGCACCGAGGAGGACCTGGAGGGGATCTTCTCCAAATACGGTAGGGTGCGGCCCTTCCTTGGCCAACCCAGGGTGGCAGCCCGAGGCTCTCACTGGTTAAGGCCAGTCACCTGTTGGGCGCCGAGCATGCAGGCCTGTCCAGGCCGCCAGGACCCTGACCTCTCCCCTGTCCGCAGGTCCCCTGTCTGAGCTGCACTATCCCATTGACAGCCTGACCAAGAAACCCAAGGGCTTTGCCTTTGTCACCTTCATGTTCCCCGAGCACGCCGTGAAGGCCTACGCGGACGTGGATGGGCAGGTGTTCCAGGTGACTGCTCAGGGCCGGCAGGGCTGCTGGGCCCATGTACACACCCCCACATTTCTAAGAAAGCACACCCAGTGGCAGGTGGAGCCGCATTCTCACACCAGCCACTAGAAGGCAGAGTCTGCTCAGAATTCACCGATCTGTTAGCACCGGGGACAGTGCCTGGCACCTGGTAGACACTCAGAAGATGCTTGTTGAATGAATAATTATGCTCTCGTCTGGAGAAATAGCACTTGGAAGGGGAGAAAAGAAGGAAGGAATTGGGTGCAGTCATACTAAATGGCCACAGTAGACTGGAAGGAGCCCTTGTCTTTTTTCCCAGCCTCTCTAATTAAGGTGCTTAGTGTAGGCCCTCCAGCCCAGGCTACCTCTCCCCCTCTCCCCTCCTTTCCATTCATTGATGTGGTTCATTGATTTCTGTGGCCTCCAGGCCAAACCTCCCGTGTAGGGCCCTGCGTGTGCAGGAACAGGGTGGGGCCCAGGCCTTGGGGCTGGGCACTGTGAGTGGCACTCAGGCTGGTCAGCCTCCTCTATGAGGCTGTGTCACATGGCCTCCATTCCCATGTCAGGCCCATGTCACATGGCCAGGTCCCCATTCTGGGTCGAGGGTAACCATGTGGTCGTGCAGCCTGAGGCCACATCTTCTGATGAGGGTTTCAGTGCCACGTGCAGCCTACTCATGGCGAGGCCGCTGTCCCCGGGCAGGATGTGGAAGCACCTACCCCCTCCCT